CCTTTTTTGCTCCAAATTTCTGACATTTTTTAGTTGTTCCTTTAGTTTGTCCAGGGTTTTCCAGTTGTCTCTTGTTTTATCCCACAGGTCTCCTACAGTATAAAAACCTTTTCTCACCCAGGCCAGCCATGTAGAGTTTGGATGTAGTGGAAGTGTGTTTCCCGCTTCATCCAATATCTGCGGGTTTCCAAACAGTGGTTGTCTCCACACTTCGTGCCACCTCAACGGTGTCGCTGTCTGCGTAGGGCCCTTAGTTCTCCACAAACGAAGCATGGAGGCCCACAGTGGATCCACTTTCAGGTCCCATTTTGCTTGGTTTGATGGCGAGTCGTCTCTCCTAGTTCTCGGTGGAGATGGTATAGGCCAGCTTGCGTTGGTAAACCATCGCAATGGGTGGAGAGGGGTGGGCGAGTCTGCGTCTGGGGCCAAATTACTGAGTTGGATGTGAGCCAGGGGGGACCAGGGAATATTATTTCCCAGCAGCAGTCTTGTTATAAATTTGAAGAGCAGCGCGTCTATTTCATCTGCTGGGTCGATAATCCCTAGTCCACCCTTGTCTCTAGGTTGGGCCACATACTGCCAAGTCACTCTATGTAAGCATTTGCTGTCGGCAGTCTCATTCTTCCACAGGTAGGTAGCGGCTGCTCTTCGCAAATTGGCCAATTGTTTGGCTGTCAAACGCCCGAATGCTGTCTTGTACCAGATTGAGGCAAGGATAGAGTTATTTATAGCTAGGGCCCTTCCTATTAGCGAGGTATGAATACCTTTCCACTTGGAGATCTGTTTGAGGGCCAGTTCAACTAGTGAGTCCCCATGGTCATATGGTGGACCCAGCGCCGTAAGTCTCACTCCGAGCACTCTGATTGCCTCTTCCTTTGCTCGCCATGTGACCTCCGGCTGGGCCGGTGGGAGGTGACCTTGAGTTTGCATCCACCATCCCTCTGTTTTTGCCCCCCAATTGACCTTCATGTCAGCAGCTATGGCAAAGAGATGGATCACCTCTTCCACCGCTCTCAGGCTCCTTTCATTCGCTTTGATGAGGACCGTGAGGTCATCCACAAACAGGGATGTCACTGGGATGAGGTGGGGGGAGATCTCTGGAATGACTATTTTTTGGATGTGGGGGTGGGCCCTTATCATTGCAGCAAGGGCCTCCATAACAATGACAAATAGCAAGGGGGCGATCGGGTCGCCTTGTCTCACCGAGCGTTGGAGAGGAAAAGTCGGTGAGAGGTGGTCATTCAACATTATGTTTGTGTAGGCAGTCTTGTGCAAAATACTGACCCATTGACAGAAGACTTCTCCAAAGTTCATCCTTTTCAGGCACATGTCAAGGAAGTCCCAATTAACGTGGTCGTAGGCTTTTTTAAAGTCTATGAATAGGATTGCTGCATCCACGTTGCGTTGGCGCGCATATCGGATGGTTTCATTTACCAACAAGATATTGTCTTGGATATTCCTATTTGGCATGAAGCCCGACTGGTGCGGATGGATAAGATTGCGCATCAGAGGGAGAAGTCTATTAGTCAAGGCTTTTGCCACCATTTTGTAAGGCAGTGGGAGAAGCGTGATCGGACGATAATTGCGTATGTCCGTCTTGTCCCCCTTTTTGTAGATTAATGTGGTCACCCCTTGCCCCATTAGGGCCCCAAAAGACCCCTGGTGGTGGACAGCTTGCACATAGAGCATGATATCGTTTTTGAGGTTTTGCCAAAAGTGCATCCAGAACTCCTTGGGGTGGTTACGTGCACGACAATCTCGTTGGTGTGCAAAACTCCTTCACTTCGAAGGTGACAGCAAGCGTTTTGACGCACTTACTCAGAGGAAAGACACACGAGAGAATAGAGATGGAGAAGAAAACCACACGAGAGAATGAAAGCAAGAACACGTCATGTCTCCCAAGCGCGACCTTGATAGGTCTTAATTGATAAAAAATAGTAACCCATCAAGTCACCGGCATCGTGCAAAGATAACAGGATACGACTTTCGTCAATACCCTGAATAGTCAGAGAACCAGCCTGTGCGTCAGCGCGACCCTACGCCGCGTTTCGACCGTTCGCCAGTCGGTCTTCATCAGGGGTCATAACGTCGCGAGTTGAGGAGGCCAAGACTGTCTTGCTACTTGATTAAGTACCTACAACAACCCGCCCAAGACTAGACCCTACCGAGCAGAACTAAGTCACATTCGAGAGTTCCGAGTTCGAGGCAAAAAAGAAATCCTAAAAAAACAAAAAACCACGTCAAATTCCAAAAGACCGCGTCTAGTCCAGAAACTTCCGAAAAACGCGCCCACGATCGCCACTGCACAACATATCCTGATCTCCTCATATTACATCGGGGGAAGAGAAAGAAAAACATAGGTATCCAGCATATAGTCAAGATTGGAACCAAGTTCAGGCAGATAGACGAAAGAGCAGGGAGTCTCTAGAGTCCTGAAGAAGCAGAAGGTCAAAAGCAAGAGGTTTGTAGAGTCTCGCAGATAGTCAGAGAGAGGACCAGGTTCAGAGGCCGACCGAAGCCAAGAAAGGAAAAAATACCACACTACTTCTGCGTGTCCCGCGACCACACCAATTAACCACAAAATCCATTGCGAGGCCAGGTCCCAGTGGCAAATAAAATTGGATTGAGCACATGAATCTGTTTTTCTGCATCTCTGCATAAAACATGTCCAGATTCAGGTGCTGGATTCAGTCCTCTTCCCTAGTGGGACCTCGCGCGTGGTGTGTAATCTTGCGAGGCCCAAGGACTTTGGGCAACTAGGAAATGAATTCTGGCACTTTGTCTTTCCCTTTTCTTTCGCTTTTCTTTTCCTTTCCTTTCTTTTTCCAGGATCGTACTTGTTTATGCCCCCCTCCCAATGGTCATTACCTGTACTGTTAGGGCCTGGCTACACTGCATAACATCTGAGATGTATGCGGACATGGACGTGGCTCACATACATTGAAAATATCCAATCTGTCCGAACGTATCCAGTCCATGTGTCAGTCCAGATACCTGCGGAATGTTTAGCACTGAAGCCATGCCAGTATTATCATCATTTGTAGTGGTGGGAGAGTTGATGGAGATCTTCGTATGAATATTATTTGCTGGCCTGATTGGATTGGATAAAATCCTCCCTGCTTTTCTTCCCTTTTTTTTTTTTTTTTTTTTTTTTTTTTTTTTTTTTTTTTTT